TTCATATTTTCTGATCATTCTCTCCTCTGTACTCCAAAGACTTCATCGTGATTCAAGCCTGAACAAGCCTTCTCCTTCTCCCCTTGATGATTGGCACACTGATCTCATTCCCAGCTTTCCACCTTTCTCCCTTTATGCTAGATTTTATCTTGGTTTGATTCATGCAGTCTTCATGAAGGAATTTTTTTTTTGCCTACTTCTTTTGCCCTGTTTCTCCATAAGTGTCCTCCATCTGTATTATAAATGAATAAATCTTCCACATTAACTATTTGGGTTATATTTTTAACCTGTACCCTTACTCTTATGACTAATAATAGAATAGCTCTCCATAAAGATCAGGGATTCAGTTGTGGCATGGAAGAAATGTTTCCTTTCTTATTCAAAAGCAGTTCTTCTGACTAATTAAAGAAATATGTCAAAATGGTTTCCAAGAAGAACCCATATGTCAGACACAGAATTAAATGTTTTGAAAATGAAAAGAACCACTCAGTCTATTTTTCAATAGTGATTGAGAACAAAGGAAGAAAGACAAAGAAGAAATAAATCAAAATTCAAGCTGAAACAAATCCGGAAATCTCTAGAAACAATAGGGACAATATGTAAACTTAGGATCTAGATAAGCCATTGCTTTTATGCTTACATTTCCCACTACATTTTGAGCATTTGTTACCAGTTTTTGGCAAGTCTCTCCCCTCCCCCCCCAAAAAAAGAGAAAGATGAGGCATGAAAGGTGATGGAATGATAGGTAGAAACGCTTGGTTTAATATCAGTATTTCTTTGACAAGGTGATTTTTTTTGTGGGGATGAAGAGTTGGGGAAGCATACCAGTTGTGCTCAGGGCTTATTCCTGGCTTTGCACTCAGGGATCATTCTTGGTGATCTTGGAGGACCATTTGTGGTGCCAGAGATCATAGGCAGATAAAGCAAGCATCCTATCATTTGTACTATCTTTCCAGCCACATCAAGATGATCTTCAATCCCAATTTCCTGTAGGGTCTGCAAAACTTTATTGTCATAAACATGCACACATGGGTCACATGGAGGAGTGGAGCTGGATAGTGCTTTCCCCAAATGACAAGTATAAGTGGTGGTTTATATACAGACGGCTGGAGCGATAGCACAGCAGTAGGGCATTCGCCTTATAAGCGGCCAACATGGCCGACCCGAGTTCGATTCCTCTGCCCCTCTGGAAGAGCCCGGCAAGCTATCAAGAGTATTCGATATACCAAACACAGTAACAACAAAGTCTCCAATGGAGACGTTACTGGGCCCGCTCGAGCAAATCGATGATCAACGGGAGGGCCTTTACCTTTTTATATACAGACATCATTTTGCCAGCTTCACAGGTGCTACAGAATGTGTTACTGTAACACATTCTGCTTCAAAAATAATGAATAGAGGGAGTGGGAAACAGTGGGCACTTGAAGTTGTCACTGTTTTCTGAGAATAGACTTCATAAACTACAAGTCACTCTATAAATGTGGACTTCATAAACTACGAGTCACTCCAAAAAGTTTGCCATCCAAACTTGACAAAAGTGTTGGGTTGCAAAAAGGTACCAACCATGTACAAGCTCCTCTCCCAAACCCCAGATAGCCAAGAGTAGGGGGAGGAGTTTTAAAAAGAACAATGGGTAAATTATTCATAGTTTCTTTATGTCTTCACTTCATCCAGACTTATTTCTAGTCTTGAATGCAATTTACTCTTTTAGGTGACTGAGCACCTAAAGATCCAAGTAAAAACAAGAGACACTCCAAAGTAAAGTGCTATTTCAACATGACAGTCTGTCTCCAGGATCAAAGGAAAACAAACTGTTTCCTTTGATTTCCAGAACTGGGGGTTGCTGCAAAGTCATTTGGATGCCCACCTTACAGTCCCCAAGGACTTCCCATTGCTTTAGTCAACTACTTCTCAGTCTCTGAGAAATGTCACATTTGGAAGGTTTATCAGGAGCTTGGGTCCTATGTCTCTGGGAGACAATAGTCTAACTTCCTTCCTGATCACCATCAGAGAAGTTCCAGTTAGGGACATTCCAATGTTTCTTTCTTGGGCCTCTACTCAGAATTGGTTAATTCTTCAAGTAGATGTTGATATTATACCATAGTTGAGACTGTGGGTATCAAAATGAAGAAGATAAATCATATATGCATGTCATAGATGTAATAAATTCACAAACAGCCAGAAAGTTTCGGGGACTATTAACTGCCTTCCTCCCAAGAGTGAGTAAACACATAATCTTGTTAAGTACAATTTTTTATATGATATATGTAACTTGTGATATGATATGTGGTGTGATGCTGTCCCATGATGTGCTTTTGATCTGATGTGATATATGACTTGGAAGTGACAAGTGCAAATGCCATGTTGGCTGAGTCTTAGACAGTAGCTTATATGCTGGACAAAACAATGCAAAAGAGTGAGAATAAATGGCTTGGCAATGAATTTACATTTCTAGAAACAGAAAAAATATTTCTCTTAGGATCTAAATGAATTAAAAGAGGAAGTGCCAATTTAAATGGGAATTGCTTACTACTTGCTTTAATTAGGTAGGGAAAAGAAGAGATATAGGGGAAAAAACTCAGAGCAAAGCAGAAAAATAATTTTTTTTAATAAATGTAAAAAATTCTAAGTATTTGTCAAAAGCAAGACTAAGAGAACTATTTTTGAAGAAATACCAAAAAAAATTTCTTTTAAGGAGAGAGGAAGAGAAAGAAAAGAGAGACCTCAGGCAAGAATTTTTATAGTTAACCTCTATTTAGGTCGAAACACTCTTTGAAAAAGAGAAAAATCTGGACCTGGAGTAAGAAGAAGAGTTAGGAATCCATTCAACACAGTAATAAAGCTCTCATTAAAAAAATAGATGAAGAGTTCCAGAATAATCAGATATCACAAAAAGAGAGAACCAATTAGGGGACAATAAAAAATGCTAATTTTAGAGTAAAGGAAAATATAGTTTTAGAATATCTACTAGGTTATTTTATATAGAAAAGAGAAGTTTTCTATATGACAAAAAAATTATTTTTTATATTTTGTTACAGAAAAGCATTCAATAGATTTTACAAAACTTAAATTTGATAGTTTAACATACTTGAACAATCACTAAATGAATTCTGAAATTAAAACTTCCTAATAATCATTTTTTTCAACACAAAATGGGGATGAGAAGTGAATAGGAATGCTTGCCCTCCCCCCCCCCCCACACACACACACAATCAATGACTTGTTTGGGTGTTCCTCTAATAATAAAAAAAAAGGATTAAAAAAACATATAACTAGAATCCAAGGATGCTTGTTCAGTTTGGACTGTTTTGCTTGTTTGTTTGTTTTAAGGAAAAGCAAAGCATCGTGAAGAAAGGATTATAGAAAGTGTACATATTTCATTAAAATATAATTGGACTTGCAGGAACAATTACTGTGCCGTACTGTAAGGGGAGCTGTTGGCACACAAGAGCAGAGCATACATATGAGCTCATCCACCGGTCTCGGCAAGACCCACTTCCAGCGAGAAGCAGTCATGTTTCAACACCTCCGATTCCCTAATGCTGACAAGCTAAACAACTTGTTTTGTCTCTGGGAGCTCTTCTCTGGTGATTAACTGCTTATGGTGAATACTAATTATATGAAAGTACAGTATTGGAGATGTGGTGTCCTATTTCCTCTACCTGAAGCTCCACATGTCTTTGAATGAAGAAGGGGCTCTGAGGTGGGGCCTTTGCCAACCCAAACCAAGGAAGACATTTTTCTCCCCTCTGGTAAATAAATATATACTTTTTCAGTCTAATGGGGCTCACTGACAGAAACTAAACCTCCTTTAACCTCTGGGCTCCAAACCAAAGGGAACCACAATAAAGTGAGTGTTCTAATGGCCCATAATAATCATAAGAATAAATCTGAAGCAAGAGTTTGTGAATTTGTGAACTATCTGTGTCCTCAATTCCCCACATCCCATATTGAAAATTTACCCCAAATTGTCAGTTCTTAGGAACTGCACCTCAGATTAAAATCTTCTCACCAGGGAGTCTATGAGAATTTGTTCTTGTGTTTTAAATCCTAAGTGCTTGTTAAACCGCCAACACTGCAAAATTAGAGACCATTAAACAATATAAGGCAGCAAGTGATTAAATCTACCAAATACACATTCAGAGCAGCTTAAGCTACTTTTTAATTAAAAATAAAATATCACGGGCTAAATTCAGATGTCTTAGCTATCCAGAAAAAAAGTTAGAAGGCTGTTCAAAATGCAAAACGTGGCTGAAAAGGCCTGGCAGCATGGGAGAAATGAACTCAGGGTCTGGGGAGACGGTGCCCCGTCCCTGTGCCCAGGGCCACAGGGTGTCCCCACGGAGACCTGGTTTAGGAGGAAGACTTAAAGGGGAACCGTCAGGGCTGTGCAGTAGAGGGAAAACTCCATGTGCCTGCTGATTAAAGAAGCTTTATTAGCAAAGGCCTCCTCAGAGACGGCGTGTTCCACCTTGGCAAGGGGAATGAGTTGAGTAACAGCATCGCAGGAACTAAGGCATTGGAGATGTATAGAGATCCGAAGGAAATGTTAGTACTATTTTTAAGTCTAGCTTACATGAACTGACAAACAGTTCTTGAAATCATTATTAGCGTTTGCCGGAGAAGGTATGGGAGGCTTCTGGGTTAAAGGGATCGCTTGAAATAGCAAAAAAAAATTTTTACTGTAAAGTTAGAAACAGATAAACACTGGTAGTTTTAAGTTGTTCCTACTTGTTTAAAGTAAAGAAAAAGGGCCAGGGGGGCTTAGTCAATGTTGGGCAGGAGGCCAAGAATCTGAAGATCAGACTTCAGGCTGGGATGATATCATTCACTCAGAAGTCTCAATACTCTTTCTAAAACATGAGAAAATTTACTGGTAAGACCTTACCTCACCCAAAGCTTTCGTATTTTTTAACTCTGTTGCTTCTTCAAGGATGATTTTACAAACATGATTTCTGCATTCCATCTAAATGTTTAGAGTGAGCTTCACAGGGACTTACCTAAAAAGCTTGCCCTAAAGTAAAGCACCGGTGCTTGGTAGCTACAGGAATATAGGACATGATACTCATATTTAATCACGTCCATGGCTGCTGGAGTCTCGGTCACTTCAGAATCATCCAAGGGCAGCTCGGAAGCCTCCTGAAAAAAAGGGAAAGCAAAATAATTTATGTGTGACAAAAAAAATTAAAGCAATACTCTGAGGGAGAGGAGAGGGAAAGAAGAGGCTTTTCTTCTGCAAAATAACAGTTAAATAAATATAAGGCTATGAGGTAAGGAAAAGGGAGTTTCCTACATTAATGTTGAACATTTGAGTACTGGCTAAATAGTAAAACCAGAAAACATTAGCATTAAGTAATTCCAGATTTTTTTTTTTTGAGAAACAAAGCAGCTCTCAGTAAAGAAACAGGAAGAGAAAGGGGAAAAAAGCAGATCTATTGCAATAGCAACCCTGAAAAATCTTTACTGTACAATTTTAGCAACAATATGATGGCTATACAAGCTACCTTCTTTCCTACCTATGAAAGCTAAAAACATCCTTACAACTGAACAGGAGACTGTGAAATGTCCCTAAAGATTCTATTGTACTTGCCAAAAGATGATTCATTGTGCACTGAACAATTCCCAGTTCCATTTTGAATAAGAAAGTTATTTTGCAAGACGTTGAGTTTGTTAGGTACATTTCAAAAACCTGCGATGAATCTGTTTTCCTTATTATTGTGCAATCTTTGCCACAGTTCCATAAATCTTAATTTGTAATAGAGTAGTGTTGGCAAATATTAAATGTAGATTTAAATGGGGGTTTATAAGCAAGGAAGGTGATGGCTAGCTTACTACTTCACCTGATCATTTTTTCTGGGTTGATCTGTCTGTTTGTTTGCTGTTTTCAATGTGTATGGAGTCTCTGACTGTTTAGAAGCAATAAACTGGACATGTTGAGTCAGAATATGGCTCCATCCACCCTCACCTTTTTATTTGGGTTGAAGAATCTGCTTTAAAATTAATTTACTAGAAAAAGAGAGTTGGGCTGGCTGGGTCTGTTTTTTTTTTCTACCTCATTAAAACAGTAACAACAACAACAAACAATTGGAAAGGGCTACAGGACAGATTTCAAATTTTATCAATATGAAATAAGGTTTCTTGTAGAGATAAGTAAAGCCACAGACAGACTACTCTTCAGATCTGTATCTCCTTTACTAATTCCCCACTCACAGCCGATTCATTGGGGGAGATATTACACTCGCTAAATCACAACTGGAGATATTTACAAAATAGTTTTTCACTATACTCCAGTAAACACTATCAATTAAACAAAATGAATTAACCAGGGAGAAACCACTGGAATAAATATTCTAGGTACAGAAGAGGACAACAGGAACAAAAATGAGGTTTTTCTGTTGCTCTATTTAAATTTTCTTTAAGCAAAGCTACCGTATCTTCTTTTTATACAACTATCTAAGCACACACTTTGTGATCACATGGGATCGGGTTAGCTTTTTAACTTCTTTTCAAAACATGATAAAATCATTATATCTTGGTGAAAAGTACATGCTTTCCATGAGGGAGGACCTTTCTATGAGGGCGTGATATGGTCCCAGATCACTGCTAGGAACACCTTCTAAGCACAGAGCCAGGAAAAGTCCCCAAACACTGCAGGTATGGCCCCCAAATCAAAACCAAGTAACAGTAAGATTCAATTAATTATTAAAAAGTAATGTTTATTTAAATAAAAAGTAAATGATAAATGTTATTATTATCACTGCAAGCACTGAACAAATGCCAAAAAATCAGAAGTCCCATTTCCCTCATGCTAAGCATTTCTTCACCTCAGATATGTAACATTTTACAAATTACAAATTTGTAACTTTTTACAAATTAGGTCACTGTATTTTTCCAGACTAGAAATTTTTTTGGCCTACAAACACAAATCTTCCCATCCATTCACCCACTCACACCTCGCTGGCAATTAAATCATGCTATAATCATATGTTCCTACATTGGATTTCTTTAGTCTTGGATTTCCTACAGTGTTCTGCCATGTCAGGGCTGTAGATTCTGCTTATTTTATGGCTTCTCTGTACTCTGCTTTTTTTTTTTTCAATGCTATGTTGTTAGTTGATTATAAAACTTGGCTTTTACACTCAATGCTACAAAGAATATCTTAGCTCATATATCCTTACATATTTGTCTATGGTACCGAATCCTAATAATGGAGTACCTTATCAAAGGATGTGTATTATAAGTTTCATTGGATAATTCCTCTCTGTCTTTAGGAAAGGCTGTATCAATACTACCAGCAGAAATATCTGGGGAGATCCCTTTCCAATATCCCATAAATACTGACATACGTTGTTTTCAATTTTTACCTATCTGATAAATTTTCACTTGTCAAATTTTGGTTCTAATTTCTAGTTAAGAGTGAAAGTGAGAGGCTGGAGCAATAGCTCGGCGGATAAGGCATTTGCCTTTCACGCGGGCGACCATGGTTCGATTCCCAGTATCCCACATGGTCCCCTGAGCACTGTCAGGAGTAATTCCTGAGTGCAGAGCCAGGAGTAACTCCTGTGCATTGCCAGGTGTGACCTCCCCAAAAGAAGAGTGAAAATGAAATATCCATTCATACGCTTATTGGTAATTTGTATTTTTCTGTATTTGTCTATTCTTATATCTTGTCTATATATCTGAAATTTAGTTTGCATTTTTAATTGAGTTATACAAACTCTATGCATATTGAAAATAACTCATAAATTGAATTTGAATCCTTGACCCGTGTGTTCTAGGAGTCTTCCATCACTCATGGTCACCTCCTGATTTCAAAAAGGTATCATTCCTTGAAAATATGCGATTAAGAAACTTAGTCTTCCCTCTCTCTATTTTTTCTTTTCTCTTTCCAATTAAAAGTAACAGATAATCTTAGAAATTCAGAATTAAGCTTCTGGTCACATTCATCTTTGTATTCCGAGAGATTCTAGCACAGTGCTGAGAACTCTTATAAGCAATGTTCTCTATTTTGGTAGCAGTTCTTCTAATTTTATTTTATTTTATTTTATTTTTATTGAAGAGTAAACTGCAATAAATTTCATGGGCAATTTACTGGCAACCCCAACCTCAGAGTAGAAAAGAATTAAATAGAGAAATAAAAATGCAAAAGTTCAGAGATGACATACAAATGGCAAAAAACATTTGAAAAATATGTTCAGCATCATTAGCTAGTAGGTAAATGAAAATTAAAATAACACATCACTATACATCTATAAGAACTGTCAAAAGCAAATAACAGTGACACCATCAAATGTTGGTGAAGATACACAGAAACAAGATCATGCATACATTTATTGCTTGGAATATAAAGTGGTAAGTCTCTGTGGAAAATAATAAGGCAGTTTCTTATAAAACTAAACATATAATTACCACCCAGCCCAGGAATTATACTCTTGGGGATTTATCCTAGAGAAGTAAAGTGTTCATGAATGTTTATAGTTTTACTGAGAATAGTTAAAAGCTTCTATCAGTTCAGATGTTCTTCAACAGATCAGTGGTTAGACAAACTGGCTCATCCAGGCCATGCTACCTAGCAGTAAAAGGGGCAAAGGATGGATACACAGAACATGGGTGTTTCTCCCAGGAATTATACAAGTGACAAGTCAATACCAAAAGGGTATAGGCTACACAATTTCATTTTATAATATTTTCTAGCTGATGAAATTGTAGAAATGAAGACTAGGGATCAGGATTAGGTTGTGCGGAAGGAGTTGAGCATTAAAAGACAATATAAGAAATCTTTGTGGAGAGGCTGGAGCAATAGCACAACAGTAGGGAGATTGCCTTGTGTGTGGCTGACCCAGGTTCAATCTCTGGCACCCTGAGCTTTGCCAGGCTGACCTTAGAGCCAGGAGTAAGCCCTGAGCACCCCACCTCACCAAAAGAGAAATCTCTGTGGTGGTGAAACTGTTCTAAAGCAATGAAGCTGTATAAAACAAAATACACATGCAGAAATGAGTGCGAGTAAAATGAGAAATACGAATAAGATTAGTGCATTGTATCAATGCCAACAGCCTGGTTACGATATAATGCTATAACTTTGCAAACCGTTTCCATTAGGGTCATTAGGTAAAGAGTACATGGGATTTTTCTGATTCTTCCTTATTATTCAATCTGAACTTTCAGTAATCTAAAACACTTTTATAAAAAAATTAAAAAAAGAGGGCCAGAGTTTTTTTTGTTTGTTTGTTTGTTTTGGGGGGGGGGTCACACCCGGCGATGCACAGAGGTTACTCCTGGCTCTGCATTCAGGAATTACTCCTGGTGATGCTCAGGGGATGCTGGGAATCAAACCCGGTTGGCTGCATCCAAGGCAGATGCCCTACCCTCTGTGCTGTTGGTCCAGCCCTGGGCCACAGAGTTTCAGCCACTTGTTCCTTCCTCCTGCATTGCCAGATGGAGCTCTGCAGGCCCCACAGCACAGCACTCTCAGGCCTACTCAGTGAAGTGAGAGGCAAAGAATCCAATCCCTGGAGTGGCAGCCAGGTTCTCTCTCTCTCTCTCTCTCTCTCTCTCTCTTAAAAAATCAAGAAATAAGTAATTTGAAGTTTAATAAAAATGTATCCGAAGTTTAAAGTCCTCAGTTGGTGCTGGGGAGAGCAGAGGGTTTATGTGAATCAGAAGAGGCCAAGAACTGGGATTTGCTTTACAGTGACACCCACCTGGAGGAGTCAAAGGTGAGAGATGTGGAGGCTGCCAGCAGTCCATGGTGTGATGATTACTGGGGCTGCCCGATGGGTCCACAGGTGCTTGTTTTGTCTACTTTTAGGAATATTTTAAATTCTCAAAAAAATTTTTTTAAGTTTTCTGATACCATGTTATCTACACAGAATCGCAGAACTCTAATTGAGAAAGCAGCCTGAATCATTTCATCAAGCCCAACAACACTACCCTTGAAGATAGCAACGAGGATCAGAAAGGCTGATGGCTGACCCCATTCCACCACTGCTGGTAGTCAGAGACACAAGGGACTCATGTCTTCTGACACTGAAATCACTGCTTGTTTTCATCCACGTGCCACTTCTTAAGTATTGCTATGCTAAATTTGAACTGATGTTTCACACAACAAAACTTTAATAGTTAACATTCTGAGTAAGTTT